AACACTGCATTAGAAGACAAGCAGTATAAACACTGGGACTGCCATCTTTTATCCTGGATCACCAGTGGCTCACACAGCTTTTGGCACAAAGTATGTCTTTAGTAAACAGGTGTCTGATACACGATACAAAGGAAAGAGGATGGGGCGCCTGGGTGGCTCAGTCGGTTAAGCTTCTGCCTCTGGCTCAGGTCATGATCCCGGGGTCCTGGGATTGAGTCCCGCATCTGGCTCCCTGCTCGGTGGGAGGCCTGCTTCTCCCTCTCCCCTGGCCTGCAGCTCCCCCTGCTTGTGCTTGCATTCTTGCTCTCTGGCAAATAAATAAAATCTTAAAAAAAAAAAAAAAGAAAGAAAAAGAAAAGTAAAAAGGCTGCCATAAAGTTCCTTACAGAATTGAAATATAATCCACAGAAACCATTTCAGGAGCAAACTCTACAGCCAGCAAAATATTTTCCCCAAGGACGGCCAAATGTTTACTAGCATTTGCATATCAAATGAGCTGCAATAACCTATTTGGCAATGAGGAAAAAAAAGGAAAGGAAAGAATGTGCCAGGCACAGGGCCTGAGACGGATGAGACTTTTACAAATGCACAAGACAAGCTTCTTTCCCTCCAGGAGCTTCCAGGCCACTTGGAGAGAGGCAAGTATCCCAAAATTTAATATTCACTCTCTTGGCTCCTCCTATGGATAAGGCTTTTTTTCTTTTCTTTCTTTCTTTCTATTTTATTTATTTGACAGAGAGAGAGAGCACAAGCAGAGCGGGCAGCAGGGAGAGGGAGAAGCAAGCTCCCCGCTGAGCAGGAGCCTGATGCGGGGGCTCAATCCCAGGACCCTGGGATCATGACCTGAGCTGAAGGCAGATGCTTAACTGACTGAGCCACCCAGGTGCCCTTGTGTTTTTCTTCAGGTGTACAATGGTGAGTGAAAACAGGACTGGCTCTCAGTCTTATGTCGGGTAAGGGTTGAGACTCAGACATTAATCAAATAATCACTGGCATAATAATAGCAGCTATTCTATATAGCAGCTAGTATGTGCCAGGAATATTTTTAATACTTTACATAAATTAATGCAGGCACATTCTATGAGGGGTACTCTAACTATCTTCATTTTCTAGAGACAGAAATTGCAGCACAGAGAGGTTAAGAAACTTGCCCAAGTTCAGAGAGCTGGTCCACACAGTCTGGATCCAGGGTTCATTCTTATAACCATCCACTCACCTGCCTCCATGCTGTGTAAGATATGGCATAGACATATTTACAAGGTCCGTGAAGGGCGGCTGGATGGTGTTATAAGAACATGTAACAAGGACATCTCAGTTTCTCTTGGTTTGTCTGAAGGCTGAGTACCGTAAACCAAGCAAAGAGGGGTGGTGGGAGAGGGAAAGACATGAAATTGGTAGCAACGGAGGGGAGAGTATGGAAGCACCTGGATATAGTGGTTCATCAGAGGTGGTGGTGGGTGGGGGGAAGGAATCTGGAAGGCCTCACGGGGGAGGCAGATCTGAAGGAATTCAAATATTGGTTTAGTTTGTAGAGAAGATAGGAAAAGTAGACATCATGAGCTCAGACTAAACCTAATTAATTTGGGGGACAGGAAGACACTGGTTACTAGGATTCTTTCAATTGCGAGTAGCAGACACTCAATTTGAACTGGCCCAAGAAAACAAGGACTTTACTGGCTTGAGTTGCTGAAAAGTCCAGAGTATAGATCTGGCAGCAAGTATATGAATGATGTTGTTAGAATCTCTCTTCCATTCCTCATTTCCATTTTTCCACGTTGGCTTGGATCTCAGGCCGTGGAAATATGGAAGCTCTAGATTTTGTCCTATCACTTCAGCAAACACGAGGAGAGGAGTACTTGTTTCTCTAAATGCCCCCCCGTGGACTCTCATTGGCTCAGCTTATATTACGTTCTCCTTGTTGAATCAATCACTGTGGCTGGGCCATGAGCGGTGCTCTCATTGGCCAGGCCTGGATCACATGCCTTCCTCTGGAACCAGAAGGCAGGGTCAGCCGTACTTGAACCCTAGGTTCTGAAAATGGGTAAGTTGCCCAAAGTAGAATCTAGAAACCAGGCAGGCCAAAACTGAGACTTCCACCACAAGCGGTTGGCTGGGGCAGTGCTCCTCATACTTTACATGCAGAGTCTTATTCAGTAGGTCTCGGGTGGGACCTTATAGAGTCTGCACTTCGAACAGCCTCGCTAGTGAGGCCAATGCTACGGCTTCACGGACCACACTGTGGAGCAAGGGGTATAACACCTGGAGTGACCGCTTCCCTCAAATTTATTTAGGCTCTTCAGTGCTAGCCTGTATCCCATCCTACCATTTGTCTACTTTTCTCAGTTTTGACGCTATACCTTTACACTAGCTGGCCCGTATGTGTGAAATACTTTTCCTCCACGTTCTCCCATTAACTTGTCAACATTTTTATGACTACCTCTTATTTCCTCCAAATGTTTCCTAACTGAGTGAAGCTGAGGCTAGGCTTATTCTTCAACTGATGCCTTTTCCAGTTTAGACCTGTGAACACTAACCTTGTGGTAGGGTAAAAATGTATTTAATTATTCATGAGTCTGACAAGATCTGCGGTGTTCATTGATTTGTTGTGTATGTAATTCACTGCCTGAGTTTCAATCTGGGTGTTTGTCCATATTGAACACTTCGGTTTTAGGCAATAGGCTGTTAGAAGGCATGCAAAAGATCCTTTGAACATGCTGATGTAGCACTCAGTAATCAGCACAGGAGTTTTGACCGGCTCCGTTTCCGAGCTGGGCCGGTTCACCCCTCCTTAGGCAACCTGGTGGTCCCCCGCTCCCGGGAGGTCACCATATTGATGCCGAACTTAGTGCGGACACCCTATCGGAATAGCGCGCTACAGCCCAGAACTCCGGGGCTCAAGCGATCCTCCTGCCTCAGCTTCCCGAGTAGCTGGGACTACAGGCGCGCGCCACCGCGCCCGGCATAGCACTCAGTAATCAGATGATGTTCAATTTTCATTGTCAGTGGTGTTTTTGGTCCTCTGGACTTTGCAAGCCACTGTGCCGATATTGGCAGAAATACTGAACTCTATTATGGTATCAAATTTCCGTATCATTGAAGGCTTTGGATTAATGCCTGTAGAATGGAATGTCTGTGAAATTGAGTCCTGAGGCCCGAGTTTTAGACTCAAGTTTGCTCCTGAATTTGTTTTGTGACTTTCTTCAAGTCTTAAAACCACTCTAGACCTGTTATCCCACCGGCCATATTGGGTGTCTTGCTGTCCTCTACGCTCCTGCTTAGCAGACCCACTTCATTTGTAACACGTGGCTGACGCTGTGGAGGTAGGACACCTGACCCTCTAAGCCTTCTTCTACCCATCTGCAAAAGACAATAATAATCATCTGATGTTATGGTGGCAATTGAAGGTCATGAATGTAAAGAACGTCATGACTGACAGTGTTAAGAAATCATAGTTTATTATCCATCAGTATCTTTTTGGAAAGATGTTGGCTGAATGACTTTATAAGCAGGTGTATTACTCCTTAAATCCATTGAAATATAGAGTCACCATGATACTGGAGAACGTCACTCAGCAGTTGTCTTTTCTTTACACCCCAGTTCTGCAGATATCAGCTATCAATGGCCCGCATACGTGACACGAATAACACTTCATAAGTAAGGTAGTATTTATGTATTTCCCAGTATGTTAGCCTTGGTTAGAAAAAAGCTACCTTCAATTATATTAGTTTCTCTTCTAATTCAATTTGTCATTAAATATATCGGTTTAAGAATTACCACGGGTTCCACTTGTACGGTAGGACCTCTGTTGAAAGCACTGAACTGCAACTTTGTAGAATTGTTTCACATTCAGGAACTGGCTTCTCCACTTCCGGTGAACAAATTGGCTAAACCGTGTAGATTCGCGCTTTGAGCCAGAAGCCATGACCTTTTATGCAGGAAATGTGTCTAAACCGATGCTGCACCCTTCTCAAAACCTAAAGACGTTAGGTCCGCGAGAGAGGTTTATCGATGCGGAAAAGTTTGGTTCTCGGTCTATCCGGATTCAAATCCCTCCTTGGACAGTCTCTAGTCCTCACCCCGAACCCAGACTTCTCTTTTGTACCTGCTAATGTCACAAATTGCCCGAGCGCGCCGTTGCTGGCCTCCGCCCAAACCCAGATTCCTCTCTCCTCCCGGCGCCCTCTACCAGGCAGGCGGCCCGCCGCTGGCCAGGGCTTTCCAACAACCCCATGTCCTGACCCTATTTACTTCTTGGGTCCCCGCCGGTGCCATCTGGCTGGAACCACGGGGAGAAACTAAAAGTTGGACGTAGTCATCCTGCCCCTTGCCTTCTTCACTCGCCCCAAATGCAAAACCCGGGGCTGCTGGAAGGAAAAAGCTTAGACGGGAAACGGCCTCGCGTCCCCGCCGGCCCTCTCCGCGGCGCCCGCCTTCCCCAGCCCGCGGGCCGCAGGAGGCGCGGCCCCTCGAGTCATCCAGCGTCCAAGGCCGTCCCTGGTTCCCTCGGGGCCCCTGGCGGCCGGCGCCGCCGCGTCGAGGTCGGTCCGGGGGACCCGCGAGGCGCGGCTGCTGCAGTCACGCGAGAGAGGGCCTGGCCCGGCGCTCCAGCCCAAAGAGGGTGAAGCAGGAAATAAAGAGGCGACGAGAAAGGCCGGGCCGGGGGGCGGGGGGGCGGGAGCCCGGGGGCACGGGCGCAGGAGCGGCGGGGCCGGGGCGGGGCGGGGCCGGGCGCGCGGCGGGAGAGCTCTGAGCGCGGGCTGCACGCGGCGCGCTCGGGCCGCCCCTCCTCCCCGCGCCGCCGGCCGCGGCCCAGGCTCCCTCGCTCCGCCACTCCCCGCCCCTCAGCTCTCCCTCCCGCCTCCCCGCCTTCCCCGCCCTCCCCGCCTCCTCCACCTCCTCCTCCTCCTCCTCCCTCCCTCCCTCCCTCCTCCCTCCCTCCCTCCCGGCCTCCCTCTCCCAGCCAAACTGCAAGCCGGACCCCAGGCCGCCTCCCCGCCGCCGCCGCCGCCGCCGCCGCCCCGCCGCCCGGCCTCCCCGCGAGCGCTCCACCATGGACAGTCCTGTTTTCACCTTATAAAGATGGCGGTGCGGGATCGCTGCAACCTTTAGACTAATGACTGTCCGAAACATCGCCTCCATCTGTAATATGGTGAGTGGCGGCCGCCGCCGCCTCGGGGGTCGTGCCCGAGGCGCGGCGAGGCGAAGAAAGGGAAGCCCGAGCCGCACACCCGCCGGGCGCCGGGGTGGGGGCGGGGGGCGGCGGGGTTCGCGCAGCGTGGCCAGAAGTTCCTGGCCCCCGCGCTCGGCGGGCGGGCCGCAGCCCCCGGGGCGGCCCGGGGAGGGGCCCGATCCCCCGCCCCCCTCCCAGCCCCGGGACCCGAGAGCTCGCCCGCCAGTGCCTGGCCGCGCTGCCTTGCCTCCGCCCTCGGGCTGCGGTGGAAGCGTCTGGGGGGGGGGGGGAGGGCGATAAGCTCGGGATGGGGGGCACCCATCCTGCCCTTGCGGTGGATAAAGCCCTACCGGTCTCCCTGACTGCCCTCGTCTCATTTTGAGTTCACTCCTTAAACTATATTAAAGGCAATCGGTGTATCTAGAGAAATTTGAAATGTAATAAAGCTGTAAGGAAGTGCAAAATTGTGGTTAGAGAAGTGAACTTCTCCCTGGTTTGGGAAGCACGGTAATTTGTTTTGGATGCCTCAATTTCCCCACCTGTGAAAGAGGGACAAGGTTATTTGGCAGTAACATTTGGAGGCCCTGAAGGTGGGGCCGTCTTTGGGCGTGGAGGAGGTCTCCAGTTATCTTGCCTGATCTGCTGTAGACCCCTCAGAGGCTGGTCTGAGCGTGGTCAAAGCAAGGGGACATCATGGGGCTCTGCTGGGTCTGGGTCCGTGATGTGGTGCTCAGTTAAACTTGGGTTTCTCCCATTGCTCTCCCTTCCTTTTCAGTTTTTGCAGGAAGAGCCTCTAGCCCTTGGGTTCCCAGGGTGCACCCTGCAGGCACCCCGGCTTGCCAGAGCTTTAGGAAGGTTAGCTTGCCCCCTGGAATAAGGCAGTTGCCCTCCCGTGCAGGGTGAGAGAGTGTGTGCCTTGCCATCACTCTCCAGGGTGCCCTTCCCCTTCATCAAAGGGCTACTCCCCCAGCTGGAACACGTGTTCATTTAATGCCAGTTTGGGGAAAACCTTCCTTGAAGCTAGTAATACAGGCCCCTAAAGGGAATCTGAGAAGGCTTGATTGAGAAGCCTTGGGGTAAGGTGATCTGGCTGCCCTTCCCCCATCACCACAGCTTTTTAAATCTTCTGTCCCACATTCTCCTGCACGATTAACACCCGGCGGCAAAGGAGCCCTGTGTTAGCTCAGGGGTGGCATCAAGACCCAGCGGCGCGGGCTTCAGTTTTCAGCACCGTTGGCCATTGCTGCCGCGGTGGCTGGGGCTTCCCAGAGTGAGAGCTGCAGGACCAGTTAGATGTGGTGGGTGGCTCCTGGAGCCGTTCCATTTCCTCTCCTTTCCTTCCTTCTCCACACAGAGACAGGTCTCCTGCTCCTTCCTGTCGAGTGGCATTAACGCTGGCTTGGTGCAGTGAGAAGGTGATGCCTTTCTTCTTGCTGTCTCTCTATGCTAAGACCAGTTCCTGAGGGGCACCGGGAAACCAGAGCAGCTCTAATCCTCCTGCTTGCCTGCTCTGTGGTCTCAGGCTTACAGGGCGATGAGGCATGGTCCCAGCTCTTGGTGGTGTTCCTCTCCTGCCTGTATGTGCTGACGCCTCGCTGTAGTGAAGTAGCCTGGGAACTTGAGAGCTTACATGTCCCAAGAGGAAGCCAGCGTCCAGCTCCCCGCCCCCGCCAGTGCGGCTGGGGCTTCTTGGCACACCTGGGCAGGATGTCACAACCAGATTCCAGTAAAACTCAGGGAGGCAGGCTGCAGGGGAGGCATCACTACTGGGTCTGCAGAGTTGACACCTCATGTGGAGTCCCTGAAAAGGCACCAGAGTTAGGCTCGACATCCGGGTGAAGTGAGGCGCTGATAATTTCTAAGTAGGGAGTTTTCTGTTCGTATTTGTACGCTGTGTCTTGAGCAAGTGCAAGTTCTGGTTCTAACATGTACCAGCTTTTTGTCCTGGAACGAGTTGCTGTCTTAGTTTCCTTACCTAGAAAAAGGGGGTGACAGATATCATTAGGCTGTTGTATTAAATGAGCTCCTGCACTGCAGGGCCTAGCACATAGCAAGAACTCGGGGAGGGCTAGCTGTTATTATTAACATCTTTCTCATTATTATGTCACCTTCCAGTGGTTTAAAGAACGATGAAGATGATACGCTCTTGGAAGCAGCCACTAATATAAACAAGCCCACGTTCACTTATGCAAAGTTCATTTATGCAAACCAAGCCGAAAGGCAGTATACAGAGGCTGGGATGTGAATCCTTAACCCCGCCCCTTATAAAAGACTGCTCAGGTCACCCCTGCCCCTCCCCGTCTCACTTCCCACGAGAGAAGGCTTGGTGATGAGGAGTCTGCTGTCTTTTCACCTGATCAATGTACATTTTCACCAGACCCCTCTTTAGATTCTTCACTGGATGATGAATTGTTTCCAGGTAGGTCTTGTCTGAATCTCTGTTTACTGTTTCGTTCCTCTCTGGGGCTCTGATTGGTCCTTTCCACTCCTAACATGATTAGGGCCTAGCTGGTTTGCGTAGTTGTAGTAAGAGCAAGTGACATTTTCTTTTAAGCAGCTTGTTTGGCATATTTTAAACAGGCTGATGTGTCCAGAAAGGGTGTTAAAAGATACCGTCCTCCCAGGCAAGACTTGAACAAACCAAAACCTAGCTTTGAAAAGCAGATTTGTTTCCTCTACCAGACGGGGAAGGACCCAGCAGAGCAGAAACAAAACTTGTAGCAAATCCTTTATGTGATTGAGGAATGAGCACCTTCTCTTTCCCTCACACTTCTCCTGCCTGTTCTAGATACAGGGGTGTTGGAAAATATCCACATCCCTCTGCTGGTCGCCTTACGCACTGAAGTTTTATTGTCCACTGGAAGTTTAATGCTAGTTCCTATTTATTTGAGTTTTATGTTCATGTGAACTCCTGCCACAGTGATTCTTGATCAGCTTGCTTGTGTAAGCTTAGCCACACAACGTGTGTGCTTCAGAGATAGTAAAGCTTGTTTGGCTAGTGTGTTGTAATTTGTAAAATGTACTAGCTGCTACCAAGCATGAGGAAATGTTCCTTGTTGATAATCTGATTTTTGTCCAGATCAATGGATTTAACTTCTTATGTATTTTTATGACCCTACAAATGGAAAGTCCCCTCCCCAGTTTGAAGAGCTTGAGAAATTTTCTGAAGGGGAAGCATTTGCTATAGGAGAAACCAAACGTGTCCTCTAGAAATGTGACTTGTACCAATGCAAATTGGTCTGAATCATCAAATTTTCATTTCATTTAATAGCACTGTAAGATGTACCATCGAGAAAATCTGTGTGTCAGATAGACTACGTTTTTGTTCCCGTAAGCGACCATTTGTTGAGGACCTGCTATGTTATGGTTGGCATATACCATGTGTAGGTACCTCATAAAAGAATGGGGCGAGTCCCTATCCCCAAGGAGCTCAGCAGCTTCTTAACTTTGTGGGCGTAACATTGGTAAAGACTAAACAATTTAAATATGATGTGTTATCTGCACAGATAAAGGTTGAACAGAATCTCAGAAGCAATGCAGTGAAAAGACCGATGAACACAGCAGGACATTTCTTTAATATGATTTGCATTTGACCATAGTTTATTTTTTTTGTATGAGGACGTGATTCTAGTCAATGTAACTTTGACCTGGCATCTGTATCCCAGGGGCTGTCTGTGCAGTGAAGCATGTGTGTTATGGTAACTTTGGACAGATTGTTGTATTTCTTGGGACCCTAGTCTTCCTCACCTTGTAAAGTTGATACATTTTTGGGGGGTTGTCCAAAGCTTCTTAGTGAACAGCATTTCTTAGAGTCTTTATAAAAAAAATCTCCTTCACAAGATGGGGCAAGCATCTGAAAGATCAAGTCAAGGCCGTTTGTGAAAAGTCTGATGAAGAGGGAGGGACCAAGTTGTCTAGAGGTCAGCGAGCTGATCTACAGTCCATCCCTGAGGATGCTGCTGTCAGAAGTTCATGGAAGGATATAGGCTTTGAGGATTTCTCAAAAGAGGGTGCACCCAGGGTGGGGGCGGAGGGGGTGGTCTACGGCCAGTGGGGTCACTTTCTCTCTCAGTCTTCTTTGGCCCAGTGGCACCTACCTACCGTTGACTGACCAAAGGTTCCAGCACACAGATGGGAAGTCTTGTGGAAGGCAGAATGTCCTGTGAGGACGGAGTGGTGGGCCTTGGCCTCCCCAGCACTGCAAACCACAGGAGAAGTAACCAGCCCCTAGATGGGGACTGACCTGTCTCTACCTCACTTTGAAACTCCTCCACACAGTATGTTATGAACCAAGCACTATAATTTTCTTTTTTTTTTAACTGCTTTATTAACATACATACTTGTCACATATTTAAAGTGTAGAAAAAAAAAATTTCCTTCTCATAATTGGCTCTCAACCAATTAAGGACCTAATTACCTTATTTAAAACTGTGTTGAATTTACCAGATACTAGCATTTTAGTTTTCCTTGAACAGTCCCAGGATATTATTGGACACCACAGTGAGTCCCATATTTGAATTGTTTTAAATAAATGAAGTCTCCCTGATAGTAAGGGAAGGTAGAATTAGTAAAAATTGGAATCAAAGCTAGAGGATTTTATAGAGATCTTTTTATCTTGCTGAGTCAATCACCGGAGGCAGTATTTTTGAGACTAGTTGGAAAAATTCTCTAAAACTATTAAAAAAGTACATATATCTTATAATTTGGGAGAAGACATAATTTGTCTCTTCCTCTAGTATTGTTACTGTTGCTTCCCATTCTTAAAGATAATTGGAGACTGTAAGCTTAATGTGTCATCTGGGAGTGGTTAAAGTCGTGTGAGGGTCTACTGTGATAGTTGTCAGATTTTAAAAATTGCAGTCTGGGGTGGGGTGGACTGATGTTTAAAGAAAAATTCTGTTCTTTTGGTCTCTTGGTGTAATATGTAGATGTTTGTGTTGGGTCAGGACCTGACAGTTAGCCTATAGATTTTTCTCTTGTTTTTCCTTGGAATCCTAGAGGAAAACAAAGTTGAATGCCAATATTCAATTAGCGTGAAAGGTTGTAATATTTTCTAGATACCAACTTTTTGTTCCAGTTCACCCATACAATAAAACCTATTTATTTTTTAACTAATGTGGAATTTTGGTATTTTGGGTTGTAATTGAAAGTAGTTTTCAATTTTGGTCCTCTTAGCAATTAAGAGGAATGTCTGTAGTTTACATGTCCCTTTTTTCCCAGCCTTGGGTGTCTAGTTCCTTTAAATGACTTGAGGCTCTATGATAGCGTTTAATTCTGTGGTATCATCAAAAAGGTATCTCCTGGTGGTTTTATCTCTAGCCTACTCATGGAGCCAGCCCAAAGCAAATGGACTGGAAGAGTTTGGTGTGTCTTTTAGTCTAGTTAATGCTTCTGGCCTAAATATTTTAAGCACATTCTTATATCTTCAATTGTGGTGAAACCAAATGCTAATCTAAGAGTTTGAAAGGCCTCGTTGATCTTTTTAAGAGAAAAAGCCACCCCAAAATGAAGGAGCAAATACTTTTTTGAGACAAATAAATTCTCTATCAACAGTCAGCCCTGGCGTTAAAAGCTTTTTGGAATGTTTCTGTTCCGAGATTGTTGCCAAGAATTTGGGGTATGTCCTAAGTCGTCGACATGAAATTTTACTACAGTTTTAAGAATGGTTCTTTGTGCTGGATTTGTAAGAGTGTGGAAGAAACCCCATTGGTTCTCAAAGCTTCACCTTCCACCTGTTGGTCCAGTCTTCTGCCTGTCCAGTTCTGATGCCACTTTCAGAGCCTGATAATGCTTTAAAGTAGTTTAGACTTGGGACTCTTTGGGTGGTGGTAAATTTCAGGCACACAGAAGAGTATGGAGAATGATAGAGGGAACACCCGTGTGTTACCATCCGCCATCCAGTAAAGAAATAAAATACTACAAATACAAGTGAACCCTTCCTCATCTCGCTCCCCCTTCCTCCAGTGACTTCTGTTCCGAACTTGACGTTTATCATGTGTTTGTAGACATTTACATCCATCACCCAGATATATTATCATTTTCTCATGTTTTAAACATGCTCTCTGATTTTGAACAGCTCCTCAGTTTGCTTTTCCTTAAGTTATGACTTTGAGATTTATCCATTAGAATGCATGTAATTCTAGGTTATTCACTGCTCTATGATATTCCATCACGAGTATGCTACCATGTATGCTATTGTTGATTAGTCCTTGGGTTTCCCGTGTTTCGTGTTTGTCGTGACAGTTTTGAACCTGTTTCCCTGTGCCTATGTTTGAAGTTTCTCTGTGGTATATACCTTGAGGAGAAATTGCTGGATCAAAGGAAATGGGCATCTTCAACTCTTAATATATTTCCAGATTGTACTCGACAGCAGTTATGCCAGTTTGCATTCCCCCCAGCGGTGCTGGGGGGCTCCAGCTGCCCCACGGGCTGGCAGACACCTGATACTGTGAACCTTGATGTTTCGCCAGTCTGATGGGTGTGATTTCAAGTGTTTACTTTCCTGTTTACTAACAAGGCTGAACATCTTTTCGTGTGTTTCTGGGGCTGGGAGCGGGGGGCGGTTAATCCAGGGACTCCGGAGCAGTTTTCCAGGGCTTGAGAGTCAGGATGGCAGTGTTGGTTTTGTCTGAAAATAGGGAAAGGGAGGATGCAGGGAAAAACTGGGGGGGACCGAAGAACAAGTCCAGAAGGGTAGGGAAGGAATGGGAGCTAGAAGTTGAGGGAACAATAAGGAGGAGGTGAGAAGGAGCAGGGAAAAAGATGACAGACTAGAAGTGAGAAGATACATTCATTGAGTGTTGAGAGTAAATTTGGGATACATTATTGGGCCACGCCTCTCTGTTCAAGTTAACATTGTTCATGCTTCGTGGAATTGGAATTGAAATTGGCTTTGGTGAACATCGCCAGGTCGGGGCCTCTTCTGTGGAGAGCAACAGCAAGGCTGGGCTTAGGGAGTTTTCCTGTTTACCCAGTTGCTTTTTGAAGTTCTTTTAGAAAGGCAGTGTGTCTCTCTGGAAACGGTGCTGCGGTGAATGTTCTGGTTCTTCTTTGCACACGTGCCTTCTTTTCTCCAGGATGTAGGCCTTGAAATGGAAGAGCCGCTCAGAGGATGTGCCTTTCTGCAGCTTTCCCGGGTGTTGGCCACATGGCTCCCCAACATGGTTGCATGAGACGGAGCTTTTTTTGATGTGCAGCTTCTGTGGCCCTCGTCCCAGGGTGGACAGGCTGTAGGTAGGTCTCCGGTGGGTTTTAGGCACCTGCGATTTTTTTTTTAAGTGCCACAGCTGATTTCGATAAGCATCCGAAGAAGCTGAGAAACCACTGTGTTAGACGGGCAGCTCCGCAAGGACAAGAGCTGTGTTTAACTTCTTTGCTGCTGATTTCTCAGCATTCAGCACAGGGCCTGGCACATCTGTG